TAACGTGTTGCCTACTACTTCAAAGGCAAAAATTGAAAGTCAAGATCAGAGCAAGATTTAAATTCTACCTCTTACTTGTTAGCTATTTGATCCTGGACAGAATATCTGACCTGGTTTCTCATTTTATCATCTGAAAAATGCAGATAACACAGAACTCCCTCACTGGGGGAATTGTTATTGCCATGAGAGGCAACTTGGAAATTCCTCTCATGTTTTTTCCTGACTCTGAAATCTTCCTTGTTTATACAAGGAATCACTCCCTTTTAAAAAAAACTTAGTGCAAATTGTTTGGCTGTGGTGTTTATCCTCTGCAGCAACCTGTGAAGCAGGTCTTCCTCTATCTGCTTTCCCGTCCTTTGCCCTTTTTCTGTCATACAGCCTCAAGTGTGTGTTCCCTAACCAGGGACTGGTGACACGGAGTAGGGCACAGGGCCGCGTTCTCAGCTAGCCGGAACTTTCCTTCCGGTGACCCAGGTCTCAGGCAGACCTTTCTTGCAGGGGGTCCGTGGGGATGATTCCCGTTCGGCCCTGCCTCCCTTGCAACTTTGAGCCAAAGCAGGTCTCAGGAAAACTCAGGGCCAGCCAGAGTGGCCCTCGCCCTGGAGAACAGTATCGCTGGCTTTCCTGCCGGGCTGTCTTCTCTGTGCCTCCCCACCGTCTTTCACATTCCCTAACCCCCCACTCAAGGTTTCACGTGTCTCCTAATGTTATCAAAGACGTTCACGCTTCCTCCCTCGCATAACTGCAGCTGAGAGGCAAGGACCTGGGTAAGAATAGCAGTTTCTCAAACCCCAGGCATGCGATGGATAAACTTTATAACCTTTCCTGCTTTCAGGTAATTATCGCACGTGGGAAGGCTGTTTGTTGTCAAATGCTCTGCTCCTCTCTTTGCCTCTCTGGGCAACTCTCGTCTAGGAACAATCACAGCAGCTTGGCCCTCCGCACCCCAACATATGTGGGTGGTTGCTCTTGTGTCTTCCCACCCACCCTGCACTTACCTCCGTGTTCCATGTTGGCACCCGTTAGCCCAGGTCTTACACGATCACCTGTGTATGGTCACCACATAGCACTAAGAGGAGCTAAATAACTACTTGATGACGGAGACAAATTTTCCACATTCTCCTGTGTTTCTTGTCCCTAACAGTAACAGCTGTAAGATATGCAATCTCTACTGGAAAAAATCTAGCCCCTATCAAGGGAACACTGTCTGCAAATCACCGGGTAACCATTTCCCTGGTTCTCAGTGGTGTACCTTGCTGCCACCACCCTTCCCCATAGTCCACGTCCTTAATCTTAGAGAAACGTCTATCGTACTAAAACCAAAACACAGGCCGATTCTTTCCTACCTTCTACGACCCAGGTTCAATGACCTCCTCCTGCGATGCCGAGAACTGGACACTTGGACACAAGACCTCGCCCTACCGGCGGTGGTGTGGCTTTCTGGCCTCTTCAACCCTCAGTCCTTCCTAACCGGTAAGGCCTGCTGCTCACAGAACCGCTGCCCCGGCAGAAAGCCTGCCCCGAGGAGCCTTCCCCGCCCTGCTCCGGGCCCCATGCGGGGGCCACGACAGAAAAGGGGCAGGAACGACAGAGGAATGGCACTCCGGGCAGAGCAGCAGCATCAAAGGGAAGGAAGCCCAGGAACAGCCAAGTGAGGTGGGACGTGGTTCGTTCTAGCAAAGGTTTTCTGCCAAGAGCTATACAGTCTCTGCCAAGACCGTGCCCAAGCCACCAGACGGTACTAACCCCATGGGTGTGGCTGTTCCAGTAGAAGCTCATTTCCAAAAGCTGCGGGGCTGTCCTGCGGGCCTTACTCTAATGTGGCCACAGGCAGATACACAGAACCCAACACTGGGCGGGAGGGACCAGGGCAGCCTCGCTAGATGCTCGGCTTGCTGGTGGCTCCTGGGAACCTTACATACAACTCGACACCCTTCATTCATCCCTGTGCCTTCTCGCAGCAATCATGCAGACCATGGCTCGAAAAAACACGTGGCCGCTGGATAAAATGTGTGTGACGGTCGACGTGACCAAAAAAGCCAAGGAAGACTACGGCCACCCCCCCAGGGAAGGCGCCTATCTGCACGGGCTCTTCATGGAAGGTAGGCCCCTGCGGAGCACAGGGAAGGCTCCTCCCTTAAGGAAGGACCTTGTCTCAGCATTCACGCGCACTAGCATCTACCTCATTTTTTGCTTTTTAAAAATTCAAATGCCAAGATGGGATCCAACATGAGCATATTTTAAGGCATTTGGGATGATGGCTTCCCCTTAGATTGAATCTGATGTTAACACCACAGGGTCATTTACAACCTACACATAGTTTAAATTATTTTGCTTTTCAATATCTTTCTTGCACTACTTTTTTACTGCAAGACTTCTCCAAGCCTCTAAAGACACCGATGTACATTGTATATCTCTAAGGCAGTGGTTCTCAACCTTTCTAATGTCACACCCTTTAATACAGTTCATGCTGTGGTGACCCCAACCATAAAATTATATTTTTTTAAATATATTTTATTGATTTTGTACACAGAGGAAGGGAGATAGAGAGTTAGAAACATCGATTAGAGAGAGCCATCGATCAGCTGCCTCTTGCACACCCTCTACTGGGGATATGCCCACAACCAAGGCACATGCCCTTGACCGGAATCGAACCGGGACCCCTCAGTCCCCCAAGCCGACGCTCTATCCATTGAGCCAAACCGGTTTCGGCCATAAAATTATTTTCATTGTGGCCCTGGCCTGTCTGGCTTAGTGGATGGAGCGTCGGCCTGCGAACTGAAGGGTGCCAGGTTCGGTTCCGGTCAAGGAAGGGCATGTGCCCGGGTTGTGGGCTCAACCCCCAATGGGAGCCTTGCAGGAGGCAGCCGATCCATGGTTCCCTTTCATTGTGGATGTTTCTCTCTCTCTGAAATAAAAAATATATATTTTTTAATGTTATTTTCATTACTACTTCTAACTGTAATTTTGCTAGTTAATGAATCGTAATGCAAATATCTGTGTTTTCTGATAGCCTTGGGCGATCCTGCTAGCTAGCAGTTGTTAACCTGTGGGTTCTTAACCTTTTGGTCACGTGAACCTGTGGGCCATAACCCACAGGTTGAGAACCACTGCTGTAGAGCTTAAGACCATCGGAAAACATAGATATATTTACATTACGATTCATAAGTAGCAAAATTACAGTTATGAAGTAGTATCGAAAATAATTGTATGGTTGGGGGTCACCACTACATGAGGAACTGTATTAAAGGGTCGCGGCAATGCCTGTCCTAGTCTTGTCCAAAATGCTCTTTTTTCACTCTAGAGCGAGTGCCACACGTACGCGTGTTTGAGGGCAGGGGCTGGGAATGAGGTACCCGAACGCGGTGTAAGGTAAGGGCCAGTGGGAGAGAATGTGGCGACGTGGATGGAGGCGTCTTTTATTCTGTAGCATTCAAACGCACTTTGCTTTTCGAGGTAGGGCAAACTAGTGTGCTTTAGTGCGTCTGGATTGTTATGGGATCTGTTATAAATGGTCTGCGTGGCACCTGGAGAGCAGGAACTTTAACTTCCCTCTCATACCTCAGTCCTGGCCCCGCTCAGTCAGGAAGTGACCGACAAGCAGCAGCGTGACAAATCCGGAACGTTTATTGCCTGCAGCAATTACAAGGTGCGGCCCAACACGTCCCACCCTCGGGTTTTTTTTTTTTTTTGCTGTAGGTGCGAGATGGGACACCCAGTCCGGGACCATTGCTGAAGCCCGCCTCAAGGAGCTGACATCGGCGATGCCGGTCATCTTTGCAAAAGCCATACCCACGGACAGACAGGAAACCAAGCACACCTACGAGTGCCCCGTGTACAAAACCAAAAGGAGGGGCCCCGACTACATCTGGACCTTCCGGCTGAGGAGCAGAGAGAAGACGGCCAAGTGGGTCCTGGCAGGCGTGGCTCTGCTGCTGGAGGCGTAGATGGGCCCTCACTCCGTGTTCGCCCGCGGGGCCTGGAGGTGAGTGCTTTTCATTGCGCTGTCCTTCTGCACATCTATTCTACCGAGAGGCATAAAACATTCCAGTGTCTGTAACTGTGCATTAACTTTTCTTAAACACCATCCTTAAAAAGTGGGGGAGAGAAAGAGGCAAACGTAGAAAGACATCCTTGGAAACCTAGTCAGAACATGTTAATTTTTAGCTTTCCCCAAGAACACTGTGTCTCCCATTTTCACCAAGTCCCATGGGAAATACCACCTCAAAAACAAAGGGGTTGGAAGACTCCTGGTCAGGAAGTGGGGTTTTAGCTCTTGTAAGATAGTAAACAAAATCTTCTTAAGTTAACAATTAGCTCTTACATTCTTTTAACACATAGATGCAACTGGCCCCAGGCAATCCTGGATGAAGAGGCGGGCGCTCCGAGGCCTCCAGTGTCGGTAACGTGACAGTCCACTTTTTGTTCATTCAAGTTTTAATAAAAAACGAAAACTCTAGTATTCTCATCCATGGTTAATTGCACTTTGTAATTTAGGGGAACATTCTGCAAACAGACATTTCCAATCACCCAGAGCAGGTTACACCAGGTCAGTAGTCGGCAAACTGCGGCTGGCAGGCCACATGTGGCCCGCCCCTCTGTTAGCTGATGAGCTTGCCAACCACTGCGCTAGGTGGTTTGAATGATTGGTCAGGATAAGGTGCCGTAACAACATGGCCTAGAGTTACTAACTGGGAAGCAAAAGGTCAAGGCAGCATCTGTAATCAAACAGATGTCTAAGGCCATGTTTTCTCTGGAACTCACCTGAACTGTAGCTGCTTTCTAATCATTAACCTGTGTATATAAGATTCCTCAAGGTGCTTAGCTGTCTTCCTGAGATATCTTTGTAAGCATATAAACAATCTTAACAAAAAGGAGTATTTAGATCTACAAAAAATTTCTTTATAAAAACACAATGGTAAGAAAGCGTAGGCACAAACGGTACATAGGGCATGTCTTGCTGGAAAACGCAAAGGTCAGTTGGCCGGTGGTTCTTCCTCCTAATTGTCTTCCACCAGCTGCTTCTGTAAGCTGAGAAGAGGAAGGCGGGCGTGAGTTTAGTGGGATAAGGAATTAACAGGAGGGGTAGGAGCACAAAGCCCTGAGATCTTATGTACAGGTGGTGGCAGACTCTGGAGGCAGGTCCCAGGTAGGGTTCGTCTCATTCTGAAACTGCGCTTTTCAAGTTTATTGGGAACCACAACTCCATCTCCTCGTCCTACATTCCCAAACCTCTCCTCCCAGCAGGGTCAAGGCTGCCTCGTACACTCCGTTTCTGTATTACACAGGCAGCCCCACGCTGAAAACCCTAGCAAAGAAGGAAACTTCCCAACAGGGAGAACATCAGGCCTGAGTCTCTCCAATGCAAACAGCTACATTCCCGGGGGATTGTAGGAATCAGGCTGCCTCAAGTGTCTGCCACCTGCCTTGGCCTGGGAGACTCACCTCTCCAGATACTCCTTGACGTTGTTATAACCGTAAAACTTGGCCAGGTGAATGAGGATCCCCGTGGCACAGCGGCCGTCGCGCTTCCGGCAGTAGCTGCAGTTGCAGATGCCCCGGCATGGCGGGCACATCCAGCCCTAGGGGGAGACGACGGCAGGCGTCTGTCCCCGTGGTGTCAGGCCTCTCCTCCGGGCTTTGGTCACCTGCTACCTTTCCATCTATGTCACTGGGGGGGAGATGACCTAGCCTGTCTCCTTCCTCTCAAGTAGGCCCAGGAAGTTGGGTCACCCACCATCACACCTGGAGAGAGACTGGGAAATGTGGGCTGTAGGCCAGCCTAGTCAGTGTAGACTCTGGCGAAAAAAGCAGATCCGTGAGACGTGAATGCTCGAGTTTCCACTTCCCATCTGCGAGCCTGTGGTTCAATCACATCACCTGAGTGACAGTGTATCTCCCCCTGACTGCCATACAAGAGGGTAAGAGCGCAGAATCCCCAGGTTCAAGGTCAGACTTAACAAACGTGCTACTCATTTTACAGAAGGAACGGAGGCATAGGGAGCTTACAGACCTACTTCAACTGAGATAAAGTCAACTGCATGAGCTGATGTGAAACTTCAGAGCAGAGCAGGGCCGGGCACCCAGAAAGCAGTGCCTCGCTGACCCGGGAAAGCCCAGTGCAGCCTTGTCTCCTGTCCTATCCTCTGGTCAGCCCGATCCCTGTCCAGAAGGAAACCCTCTTCTCCATTTCTCCCGGCATCTTAAGATGCAGAGAGAATGGAGAGGGTTCAGGCTCTGCAGCTACTGGTCCCTGACAACAGGGTCGAGGAGCCCCACCGCTCGTGGAAAACACACACGCCGCTCCTACCGGGTCCAGCAGCGCCGACCGGACGTCCTCCCCGTAGCGATTCCGCAGGCACGGCCCACAGAACTGCCCCCGCACGCCGCCGCAGCTCTGGCTCCGGCACACCGTCTTGGTGTCGATGGTCTTCTGCCGGCACTGATGGCACGTGTTGCCCTGAGGAGAGAAGGTGGTGAGTGGCTGAGCACGGGTTCACGGGGCGAGGCCCCACACTGCTGTTCGCCGGCCCTCTCCTGGAGGTGAGCAGACTCTGGCAGCCTGTCAGCACTTCTAGTTCTGGGGCCACAGAAGCGTATTAGGGCAGATGAGGCGGAGCAGGGAGCCTGGAAGGAATGAAATGATCAGAGAGAAAGCAGAAGGGGCAGGGCCTGTGAAGAGTGCCAGGTGCCCCGACCTGGATCCTGGAGGCCGGGGTAGCCTCTCATTTTAGCACGGCCTGCGACAGCTGTCCCACGCCCCATCTGAAACAAAGCTGACCATCGAGAGGAACTCTCAACCCACCTCCTACCAAAGAGGCTCTCAAACGTTAGCTTCTATGGTTCTATTAACCAAAAAGCCCATTATATTTTTTCAATGTTTAAAACAAAGAATGTATAATAGAACAACTATAAATAAATGTTTTTCTAAACGATGCCGCCGCCTCCCTCCACACAAACCTCTCCTCTGCTGAGAATTCCTGCTCCGAGCCGTGTCCCCTCCCCCAGGTACAGCTGACCCGCCAGTTCAGAACCGCCTCGGAGTCCCAGGGAGAGTCCCAATCCCGTGCACTGTCATCCCATGGAACTTACCAGAACTTTATCGTAGATTTTATCTCGGACAGTGATGGCGACGTTTTCCAAGTCGTCCTCCGTGATGTCCTCCACGGGCCGGAAGGAAGACACCCGGTGCCGCCGCCGGTACCCCTGGCACCGCCCCTGCGAGGACACGAAGAAGCCGGCGTCAGATGTGCCGAGTGAAATGTTACACTCTGAAGAGTTCCAACACCATTAATTAGTGTTAACTGCGTCCCTCCTCCTCTTCTCCCGAAATCATTCATTCACTGAGGTGTGTCAAGCTCCTTCCACGGCAACTCTGAGCACCGGGTCGTTAACAATCACAATGACCAGCCAAACCCACACATGGGACGAGTACAGAGTTTCTCCCTCCTGCCCGAAGGCACTTGAAATGCCTCCTTCCTAAAACAGAGGCTAGGAAGACTCTCTTTCCTTTCCCCCAAGCAAAGCCCCAGCGCTGGCCAGAGTCTCGGCCAGGCCTGTGTTGCCTCCATCAGACGTCCCGGGCCCTGCAGTTCGCACATGAACCACCTGGAATTCATAAAACTGTCAATTCCCAGCCGCTGCAGATGGACTGGGGCAGAACCTCCGCCCTTTTAAGCCCTGGAGCGACTACGGAGTTAGAGCAGAGGTCCGCAAACTGTGACTTGCGAGCCACATGCGGCTCTTTGGCCCACTGAGTGTGGCTCTTCCACAAAATACCACGTGTGGGCGCGCACGTACGGCGCGACTGAAGAAGTACCCTCATTAAATTGATAACAATGTACCTGCCTATATAGTTTTAAGTTTTAAAAGTTTAGCTCTCAAAAGACATTTCAATCGTCGTACTGTTGGTACTTGGCTCGGCTGACTAATGAGTTTGCGGACCGCTGGCTTGGACAACACGGTTTGTTTACTAAGGTCACCAATACCCCACTGATGGTCCTCCGCCTCCGCAAGCGGAACAGCTCCTCGGCGAACGGCGCGGCGGAGACGGTGAACTTCTCCAGCGCGAAGTTCTCGGGCGGCCGCGCGCTGCGGGCGGGGTTCGTGCGCCGGGGGAGCTGGCCCTCCGAGAAGGCCCGCCGCCCGGTCTTCTTCCTCTGAAAGCGAGAGCGGAGCTGTGTGCCGCCGGGCGCCTCCCGGAGGACAGGCCACCCGGCGACGGAACAAACAGACGGAGCGCCACTTACGGAAGCTGAGCTCGGGGTTCGCACCGGGAAGAAGTCGGGCACCGAGTTCAATTCTGCCAGCAACTGAGCAAGCTGGAGTCCGGAACAAAGAAAGGGGGGCAGGTAAGTGTTCACAAATGTGTCCCCGGATAAATTTCACCCCAACACAAGCTTTCCGTTTTCTTGGGTACCTTACTTGCCACATAAGATTGTATAATATATGCAGTATCATTCCAGGACCCCTCTTTAAAAAGAAAACATTACAGACAGACATACACCAAAAGTGCTAAAAGTGACTCTGTGTGGCAGGATTTTTAAAATCCTGTATGTACGAAATTATGATGCTAACAACAGTCGTTGACCACGTGCAGAAAAACCAGACACAGAGCTCGCTTTGTTGCCTTCGTCTAGGGAAGACGTTTTAAAATAAAGTTCCCTTTGTTTTAATGCCGAGACCTGTTTCATTCCGTCACATAATGTCCTGAAACCACAGCCGGCGACCCTAGGAGACAGGTTCCTGAGCTGCAGGCCCCCCGTCCGGCCTGCTGCCCACGGCCACTCCTAAGTGGACTCCCGACACCTCGTTTTCAGCTTTCCTCTGGGGCCGGTGGTTCAGCTCCTCCTGGCTCAAAACTACTGGAGTTAGAACTTCACCCCATACATGGGAAGCGGCATGAGCTCGAGGTACAGGGCAGGGGTTAAAAATAGTGCAGGTGTCTCTTCCTGCCCCCAAACCAGAGCTACCAGGGACCTGCTGCTCGGGGCTCAGGAAGAGAGAAAGGGATGCACAGTCCCCGGAGCGCACGTCCTGAGAGAAGCCAGAGCAGAGCTGGCAGGGTGCAGTGTGGGAGCCTGGCTGGAGCCCCGTGCCCGCCCCCAGGGGCGGCCTTACCATGGCCTTGTTCTCCTTGATGTTCATGGTCCTTTTCAGCAGCGGGTCCGAGCTCTCCTGGCCCTCCTCGTCCCGGGAGTCCTCTTCGGGTTCGGAGGCCGAATCGTCCCTTTCCTTCCCTGGTCGGCAGCTTTTCTTTCTCCGGAGAATGGCTTTTGTACTGTCCTGTGAGCAAGCGCTGGGAAACAGGGGCTCGGGAGCATGCTTGGTGGTCGTTTTGGCCGGTTTCTTGGGGAACTGCAGGGCTACGCGGAGACCGAGGCTGCTCCTCCTGGGCCTGCCTCTCCTGGGCGTGGCCTCCTCTTCTTTGTCACCTCCCTCCTCCTCGCTCATGGATGCCTCACTCCCATCCTCGCTCAAACCGGACCCCTCGAGCTAACAAAATGAGAAAAAACAAAGACGGAAGAGACTTTCAAAAGGACACGTTTGAAACAGACCTTATTTTAGGAAAGAGTTAAACATCTGAAAGCTCCCCCTTCTTTGTAGTTCCCCTGAGCATTTTAGTCCAGTAGTTGGTGCTGGATCGCTGCCCCCCCCACCCCAGGGAGCTGATTTTAGAAGGAGGACCCTCCCCGTGGTCTGTACCCTGCACCAGGGCTTCCTCTCAGGGTGGTCCCAGGAGCACCTGCACCACCTGGAGCTTAGTAGGAACACAGAGTCTCAGCCACTGGCCGACTGCGTTCCTCTCAGACCACGGGGCTGGAAGCAGAGCACTACCCATTGGGCCCCTGGGCAGGGAACAGACAAGCTGGCGGGTCTGGCGGCCAAGTTAACACGGGGAACAAAGAAAATGGTGTGCGTGGAACCTAAGACTCATCTTCTGGTAGAAATGGGAGTGCTAGCCTGGCCTGTGAGCGTCGACCTACGAACCAGGAGGTCACGACTAAATTCCTGGTCAGGGCACATGCCTGGGCTGCAGGCTCCATTCCTAGTAGTAGAGGTACAGGAGACAGCTGATCAATGTTGCTCTCACATCGATGTTTCTCTAAACTCCCTCTCTCTGCAAAAAAACAAAACCACCACCACAAAGCACATCAAGAAATTTCCAAGTCAAAATACATAAGGAAGACTCCAAGACTTTGGCCAAATTAACTACAAGCACAAGGACATTACTTCACACACACACACACACAAGAAGTAATGACTTTAAAGGCCTTATTATTTCCAAATAGACCCTCCAAGCAAATCTTTGATAAGGACACCTGAGACACAACCCCCACACTCCAAAGGAGGGGAGACGCCCCCCCCCCCCCCCCCGGCAGAGTACAATGGATGATGGACATGGACACACACACACACACACACACACACGACCAGGGATTCACCCTGCAATGGCAACACTGTGTTAACTGCTTTAGAGATAAACAGGTAAAATCTTTCCCCTCTGGGAAGGGACTTCTTCCGAGTAATAGCGGAATTCAGAAACAGGACTGAAGCGATTACAAGCCAGGCTCCCTTGCGTGGCTCGTTATTACCTTTCCTTCTGGGCTACTGTCCGCACTCAGGTCGCTCTGCGTAAACCCCTCAAAGTCCTCCGTCTCTGAGTCGGTGTCCTCTATAAAAATTCTCCTCAGCTCTTCTGTGAAGTACTTGGAACGGAAGCGCACATCCTGCTAAATTAAAGCACACACACGTTAGAGAGAGGAGAACAGGGGTTCGTTCCCGGGGCGCAGGGCCGTGGGGAGCCGTTTCATGGGTGCGGTGTTTCCGTTTGAGATAATGGTGTCCGCTGCCCAACACTGGGAGCGTATCGAAGGCCACCTATTGTCTCGCTGGCAAGAAACCAGGAACTTGTCTGCACCTAAGAATGGTAACGCCCAAACAGTATGGCTCAGCGGCTAAGTGTCGACCTGTGAACCAGGTGGTCACAGTTTGATTCCCAGTCAGGGCACATGCCCAGGTTTTGCAGGTTCAATCCCCAAAAGGAGGCAGCCGGTCAATGATCCTCTCTCCCTCCCCCCTCCTCTCTGAAATCAATTAAAAGATAAAAGTAAAAAATGGTTAGTGGTAAATTGTGTTTTTCATGTTTTACCACAATAAGTGTACACACACACACACACACACACACACACACACACACACACATTTTCTGCAGCTTACAGAAATTTAGACCTACGAATGGAATGATTTCAAAAACTCAATATCCACAGCCTCCATCGACTTGTCTGACCGATAAGCATGGCTGGTGTTCCATTCTTCCCGCCAGGCTGGCCATCAGGGATGCCCACTTTCCCCCAGAACCACAAAGCCACCCGGAGGAGGGGGGGGTCTGGGGGTGAGGAGTGGGGAAAACCTGGCTCCCTCCCACACGGGCCTTCCCCTCTCACAGCCACCTGGAGCCTTCCCACCGAGGCAGTGAGCACGCCTGCCTTCCCGAGACCACAGCGTCTCCACAGGAAAGAAGGGGCTGGAGACCCTGCTCCCCCGCTCGCCCACCCACCGATGAGCCGAGGGCAGTGGTCCCCTCACCCGCTGCCACCCCCCACGACCCCCCCCACCGAGTGCCCAGGCGGCAAGCTGCTACACAACGGACTCTGAAAAAGGAGGTCATCTTCGAATAAAGATGTCTTCTTTCCTTTGAACGAATGAAAAGGAGAAAATGGGGCTCTCTGAATGGCATGCTTGAAGGTGAGGAGGGAAAAGCAAGCGCCGCCGTTCAGAAAGGAGACCCCCCACAAGCCAACTCCACGCAGGCCCCCAGGGCTGGGACCGGGTCCCCAGGTGCCCAACACCGCCTCCCACCCACGTGTGGTTGGAGAATCTATCTGCCCCATGCCTTTGCCTGACTTTAAAGACATACTTCTTTGCGCTCAGATAATCTCGGGAGAAAAACAGACAAGTGGAAAAACTTATAGAGGATAGAGAAAAGCGCCTATATCCAGCACTTTTTAAGCTTAAAAATGTCCCCTATGAATGACTACAGGCAATTGGAGTGAGTGTGCTCAGAGCTAAATTACTTTGTTCCTTTGTTGATAGCTTGGAGAACACACACACACACACACACACACACACACACACACACACGGGCAATTTCTTGAAAGTGAAATTCCTATTGTGTTTCAGAGACACCAAACTCAGCATTGCCGCACACACTGTGTACAAGTTCGTGCGGCTCCTCTCGGATGGTTAACACGGATCTGAGTGTGAGTGTGTGTGTGTGTGTGTGTGGGGGGGGGGGGGGGGGGGAGTCGGGATGGGGAAGCAGCAGATGAGGATTTATGATGAAGGAAGAAAGGTGCCCGGCTGGCTCCTGGGAAAACCTACCACGAACCCACTATCTCCGAGGGCAGGAAACATCTGGTTCCTGGGGCCCAGAGCCGGCCCCCGCGGGCTGATGTGGGGCAAGGGGTCTCTGTGTGGATCAGACACCCCCAGTCCCTGCCAAGAGCCTGCAGTGGCCAGGCCTCACAGCAGCACGTCCCCACCGCCAGACCTCTGCAGTCTTAGCCTTGGCGCTGGCCTCACAGGGCGGTGGTCAGCCTGGGAGAAATCAGTATCTCTGGGGCCGGAGGGAGAAGCCCAGCCTTCAAACGTGAGGGTTACAGCTGAGACCAGGCCGACGACGGAGACCACTCAGTGAAAAGCACAGGAGAGATGACAATAAAGAACAAGAGAGGAAGAGAACGTGGGGAGTGGGAGGAGTGAGAGGAGGGGGTTGGCGGGGTCGAGGTCATGGAGACAGGAAGGTGAGGCCCCCAGAGAGGGAGGCCCGCGTCCCGGGAAAGGACGGCTCCCACCGAGGCCAGCCGAGGAGTGACCGGCTTCCCTCCAGGTCCTTGCCGGGTGGAAGCAGGGGGGCTTCGCGTACAGCCTTGAAGGAGAGACCATGGTCGAGGGAGGAGGAACTGGAGCACCGCAGTGACCTCAGGAGGAAAGGCTAGATCTTGCGGTGGGCTGTGCAATGGCTCGGGCACAACAGGAACCTCCAGGCATCTAACTCCCGGAGAACGGTAACGTAGGTGTGCCACAGACCAACGTGGTCAGAGAGAAAAAGGCTCTCCCCAGCCACCCCGAGACGGGGGTGCGGACAGAACCACGCTGAGGGGGCAGGGATGCAATTGCCCCACGGCAGTGATCCTCAAACCGAGGCTCGAGAGCCACACGCGGCTCTCTGGCCCCTTGAGTGTTTAGCAAAGGCCAGCTTTTAGGAGTACCCTCATTAAGTTAATAACAAATGTACCTACCTACCTTTAGAGTTTAAGTTTAACAAATGTGACTCTCAGCCGAAACCGGTTTGACTCAGTGGACAGAGCGTCGGCCTGTGGACTGAAAGGTCCTGGGTTCGATTCCGGTCAAGGGCATGTACCTAGGTTTCGGGCACATCCCCAGTAGGAGGTGTGCAAGAGGCAGCTGATTGATAATTTTCTCCCATTGATGTTTCTAACTCTCTATCCCTCTCCTTCCCTCTCTGTAAAAAAATCGATAAAATATACATTTATTTTTTTTAAATTTGGCTTTCAAAAGGCTCTGTTCACTAACGGGTTTGCCTACCACTGCCCCACGGTAACCTCACGTTCCAGGGCTGCCCCGCGTGCAGTGGGCATCGCTGTGCCGGGCAGCCCTCCCCCCAGCCAGCTGCATGGGGGCCTCTGACTCCAGCCAGGCCACAGGCAGCAGCCCCGAGGTTGCACAGAAAATGGATCTGATCAGGTGAGGCACCCTTTATTTAAAAAAAAATAATGTACTGTACACAAAAGGATTTAAACAGCAAACGTGAGCTAGGTACTCTCACCCATTTCTTGAAACACGAAGGCCTGAGGCTTACAAAATAAAACGCTGGGCAGCGGACCGGCATCGCCCATCCCGGGCCACGGTCCAAGACAAGGACACTCGAACCAAGACCCGGGCTTCCGGCCCCACAGGCCTGCCTCGGAAGGACGCCTCCGTACCTGTTTCCCCGACCCCAGCGAGTCAAAGCTGTCGCAGCTCTCCTCCGAGGAGAGGGTTTCCATGGGAACGTCCTCTTGGAAGCCGACAAAGTCTTCATCGTCACTGGGGGCGTTGAAGATGTCAGCCACTTCTTTAGGGATCTGTTTTGGATTCAAAAACAAAACAAAGAGATAAAGCCAGAGGTGGTTCTCATCACAGGGAAATGTCCCAGCGCCAAGTAGGAATTAGCATCTCATGACTCTATCCATCGGCCTTGGTTGCCCCGCGGACACCAGTAACCTGAGCAAAACGTGCTTCGGCTCCTACCTACGGCAACAAGGAAGGGAGTGGGTGGGGATGAGACGTCGTCAAACCCCCGAGATGTGGCCTTGCTGACCGAGGCTGTCAGGACCACGCCTAGAGAGAAGCCATTTTTGATCTCCTGACAAAATCTGAGAAAACAGGCACTGGTTTCTGAGAAACCGATGATCTATTTTCTTCCTACCGTGGGCCTGTCTTTAAATGGCACCCATGGAAAAGAGGCTCCGTTAGATGTTAACAGGCTCCTCCTGTCTTAATTCCCATCTCTACGGTTCTTTATTTATTTATTTTGTTATTCTTTTTCGCATGCTGATTTAGAAGTGTCACACAATAAAACAGCTTTCCTTCTCCTCTATACTCGGAATCAAGGGTAGGGCTTTAGGATCCCAAGGGCATGTAAATGCTACCACAGGCTATTACCCCCAGCGAGAATATGGTCAGCACGCTTAACTTCACAAGCACGGACTGTGGCGAGTTGTTCATTTTTGTATGCTGACAACCTATTTGTTCCCAACTCCGTATTTCGAGGAAGTTCAAACACAGAGAAAGGTGGAAGACGACTACGAACATCTGCACGTTCTTCACACGGAAAACCCCCATTTGCTTGCTTTCTCTTTCAACAAACAGGCACTTGCTGATATTAGTCTGTTTCTGACCTAGGAAAACAGTGATTGAATATGAGCCAACCTAATCCACTTTATGCTCTAACTACTTTACAGACATCACCCTGCAATATTTCAACACACATCACCCAAGGACATTTTAAACACCAACATTTCAAATATTATCACTAGCACATCTTACTAGTATTTAATAATATTAGTACTAGACACTGAAGTGGTAAGAAAATTAAGTAAAAAGGAAAACTTTAAAAAGTAGTCCTTCCTTGTTCACAGCAGCACTATTCACAAAAGCCACAAGTGGGAGCAACCCAACTGTCCAGGACAGACGAGTGGATAAACAAAGTGTCCTATATACCTACAACGGAGTAGTATTCAGCCTTAAGAAGGAATTTTTAAGTATTCAGTTGGTTGCCATGTGGTCCAGTACACCAAAAAGACAGCTGTTTGATCCCATTGGGGTGCGTATGGGAGCAACTCATGCGTTTCACTCTCACATCCATGTTTCTCTCTCTCCTTCCCTCTCCCCCTCCCCCTCCCCCTCCCTTTCCCCTCCTCCTCCTTTTCCCTCTCTCTCTCCCTCTCTCTCTCCCTCTCCCTCTCCCTCTCTCTCCCTTCTTCTTTCTCTAAAACCAATAAACAGATCCTTGGGTGAGGATCAAAAAGGAAAAGGAAAGAAATACAACTACTATTGGAAAATTATGTTGTATACACCAAAAACTAATAGAATGTTAGAGGTAAATTACATCTCAATTAAAAAATGTTTTAATTTACAGTCTGAGTGAGTGGGGGCGGGATGGGGCCTGAGAGCCTGCATTTCTAACAAGCGCAGGGTCCTCCCATGCGCCGGTCTGCAGGACAGTTACAGAGACTCCAGCCCCTTCTCTGTTCCTCCGCGTGAGATGTAACTTTCCCTCATTCACAGCGGCGTCTGTGTGCCTGTCCTTCCTGCACAGGTAGCTGACAGCAGACTCCACCTCTTTCCCGTGTCTCCCCCCAGGACCAAGAGGAGAAGCTGTATACTTAGAGGTCCTTACATATCTGAATAACTGATGAGCAGCATCAACTAATTTTTTTTTTAAAGAAGGAAATCCTGTCCTATGCTACAGGAGAGAATCTTGAGGACATAATATGAAGTGAAATAAGCCAGCCACAAAAACAAACATCGATGGTTCCACTCATCTGCGGTCAGATATGGAGATACCGGAAGCAGAACAGTGGTGGCTGGGGGCTGGGAGGAGTGTGAAATTGGGGGGGGGGGGATGTTTAGTGATAAGTTTCAGTTTCCCAACAGGACACCGTTCTGGAGGGTGCACTTCAGTGTACCTGCACTTCGTGCTACTTCCAAGTGGTTGCGACAGTAACTGTGATGGGCACCTTACTACCATTTTTAAAAATTCAACAACGTGAGACAAATTTAAAAAGGCAATTTCAAAACGTGAGGAAAATGTTCCCTCCTTAAATAAACACAATCCTTTTCAAATTCACTGGACAGGTCTGGACCTCCATCAGATGTCCTGTTACTGACGAGGGGCGTGTGTTTTGAGAACCCAATCCCTCCACCTAAGGCAGGCAGGCAGGCTCAGATCCGCCACCTCCTGTGCCCAGAATTCAGTGTTAAGTTGGAGAACCACACCTCGACCCCGGTATCTGGGCCCCAAACCCAGAATTTAAGAGAAAGTCGGGGGACAAAGCAGTTGGCGGAACCACAAGGCTACGCTAATACAGTAAATGCTGCCGCTCACTGCCTCGTTCTCCTTTGGCAGGTCTTTCCAGGATTTCTTAAGTAACATAGAGCTATGCCTCCAGGTCTCCGTTCTCACCTCTGCCAGCCTGAGCCTCAAAGAAAACTCAATGAAAAAACTAGTAAGCTAGGAAAAGATGCCCCCAAGTGCCAGCTGCTTTTCAATCAAGCCATTTGCCTTTGAATATAATTAATGTGTCATTAACTAAAATTTTCATATTTTACTAATTTTCATAAAGGATGGTTATTGACTTTTTTTTAAATATATTTTATTGATTTTGTACAGAGAGAAAGGGAGAGAGATAGAGAGTTAGAAACATCGATGAGAGAGAGTCATCGATCAGCTGCCTCTTGCACACCCCCTACTGGGGATATGCCCGCAACCAAGGTACATGCCCTTGACCGGAATCGAACCCGGGACCTTTCAGTCCCCAAGCCGACGCTCTATCCATTGAGCCAAACCAGTTTCGGCAAGGATGGTTATTGACTTTTAAAGAGGAAGGGAGAGGGAGAGAGAAAGAAACATCTATGTGAGAGCATAATATTGACTGCATGCCCCCAACCAGCAACTGAGCCCTGACCAGAAATGGAACAAGCAACCTTTTGGTGCACTGGCTCAACCAACTGAGCCGCACCAGCCAGGGCAACATATTATATTTTAAAGCTATAACCTGTAAAGGCGTTCTCACTCTGGCCGAGTGGTTCGGCTGGTTGGAGCACCATTGCATACACCAAAGTGTTGCGGGTTCAGTTCCTGGTCAAGGCACATTCCTAGGCTGCAGGTTCAATCCCCAGTTAGGGCACATACGGGAGGCAACTGATCAATGTTTCCCTATTACTGTGGTCGGCAAACTGCGGCTCACAAGCCACATGCAGCTCGTAGGCCCATTGAGTGTGGCTCTTCCACAAAATACCACTGCCTGAGCGAGTCTATTTTGAAGAAGTGGCGTTAGAAGAAGTTTAAGTTTGGCTCTCAAGAAACTTCAGCCAAAGCCGGTTTGGCTCAGTGGTAGAGCATCGGTCTGCAGACTGAAAGGTGCCAGGTTCGATTCCCGTCAAGGGCATGTACATTGGTTGCGGTCACATCCCCGGTAGGGGGTGTGCAAGAGGCAGCTAGTCGATGTTTCTCTCCCATCGACGTTTCTAGCTCTCTATCTCTCTCCCTTCCTCCTCTCTGTAAAATATCAATAAAATATATTTTTTTAAAAAGTAATTTCAACCATTGTACTGTTGATATTTGCCGCTATTGACTAATGAGTTTGCAGACCAATGCTCTATCACATCTATGTCTGTCTCTGTCTGTCTCTCCCCTTCCCTCCCTCCATTTCTTCCTCCCTTTCTCCTTCTTTCCCTTTCTCCTTCTCTCCCTTCCCCTCTCTCTCTAAAAAGAAAAAAGTTATTAAACATATTCTCAGGTGAGGACTATAAAAACCATGAAGGCTTTCCCATATCTCAATGATATTTAAATCTACTCTTCCTAGCCAGGAAGAACATATTTATCATCTATTTAATTTTTGAAGGAAAAAAAAAACCCTTGAGATTCTCTTTAAGGTGAACTGATTCCAGAGCTGATTTAGATAAAGCTTTAGGAAATGCTTCTTATTCCAGGAACACCGCTGTATGTAATTTCACCTGGAAACAAGCTCCACTGTAAGCCCCAAGGAGCAGTACAGAGGAAATCTATGCACACCTCTGCATTTCCCTTATTGTTTTTTAAAGCTTTGACAGCAAGGATGGCGGAGTGTGCAGGTGAGCTATCTTTAAAAGGTTGTGGGAAAAACCCTTTGCCCAGAGGAAAGCATTCGTTCAGCCCACCTTAAAGGGAGTGTCCCACATACCCCCTGCCATACACCCTGTCATTTCCCTAAATCTCTTATGAGCAAATCGGTTGGTACACAGACGCCTACATACCTTGCACCATTTACCAAACAAAAAACTAACTAAAAATGGGTCAAACCAAAATATAAAATCTAAAACTTCAAGAAGAAATAGGAGGAAATCGTTGTCACATTGAGTTAGGCCTGTGGTCGGCAAACTGTGGCTTGCGAGCCACATGCGGCTCTTTGGCCCCTTGAGCGTGGCTCTTCCACAAAATACCACAGCCTGGGGGAGTCTATTTTGAAAAAGTGGCATTAGAATACGTTTAAGTTTAAAAACTTTGGCTCTCAAAAGAAAGTTCAATCGTTGTACTGTTGTTATTTGGCTCTGTTGACTAATGAGTTTGCCCACCACTGGTTTAGGCAAAGAATTCATAGATACGATACCAGAAGCATAATGCAAACTTTTACAATGTATAGACAGTCAAAATTAAGAATGTCTGTTCTTTGAAATGCACAGTTAAGAGAATGACTAGAAAAGCCAACTAACTGGAAATTGCAAATCATTTATCTGATAAAGAACCCATACCCAGGACATATAAAGGACTCTCAAAGTCAATAATACAAGCAAATAACCTAATTTAAAAATAACCTAATTT